ATATGCTAAAATGCATTATAATATCATATATTTGTAATTATAGCATAAAGATTATACAATCTAAATTTATTTTCCTTCCATTCACATTGCTAATACTGACGCTATTGTCTACATGTGCGCGTGATGTAAACTATAGATTTTAGTACTAGCTGGTGAATATATTGCAGCTCTTGTAGTATAGTATGTCTCGAAAAGTTTGACAAAGTTTTGTCTTGTTTAAATCTCATCTCATCTCGTCTTGTCTCGTCTCGCGGCATCACTAAGCGCAACCCATAGCAATTTTGATTTTAAAAGTCGCGCCATGCACTTCTATATTGTATGGAAAGGGAGTCCGAATCAGGCGGGGGGGAATACTTTGGAGAACTCCCTACTAAGCACCCATAATCGAACCAGCATTGAAAACTGCCGAGTATAAAAAGCATCGAAAGTTTTAGTCTCCGGGTTACACTAATCCAGTGTACCATTAACGTTAGTAAACTCGTGATATATACTAATTTTTGTAAAATCAATTAAATAGAATTTAGGAATAAAATGGAATTGAAAAATCAAATAAACATTTTTTTTATTGATCTTATAACATTAATGTTACTTAATAATGTACAATATAACATAAATTTCAATTTTTATTATTTGTCATTAAAATGCTAATGTCACTAAAAATTTATTATTTATCAATTTTTTACTTAAAACATTTAATATTTAATGTCAAATTACGCAAATAATTTATTTTATTTATTACCATAAAAAGTTACTAACAAGAGCCTAAAATTACCTTCATTCACCATTAAAAATAATTATACTTTTTGGAAGTAATTGAAAATATTAATTCCCTTAAAATACAACTATAAATCTTTACAATCCCAGTAGAATTAGGTCACAACTTGTTTTAGAAAAAGGAATATGATTATATAAACAAAAACCACAATTTTACTAAATTAAAAATTTTTTTTCTGTAATTTTGTAAATAGTTTCTGTGTAAAAGTTTTTTTGCTTTTTAACATGGATATTCAAATTTCTAAATTTTTAAACTATTAATTTAGTAATATTAAAAAAAAAAACTTGCTCTAAAATGTGCAGTTGATAAAAAGTTATAATAAAAAAAAAAAAACAGCGGGTTAGCCTAACTCATGTGTACCATCTACGTTACTTTTAGAAGTGTACCGTTCTGGGGTTAAATTTCCAAATATGTCTTGCAATAAATTATTTTTTAAATCTATAACAACTTTTTGTTATAACTTTTAAAATAGAATAAAAGGAATATGCGGACGTCCCTTCGTCGCGACGGAAGGCACGGGAACAAACCAAACGTCATCGATTGCAGATGGAAATGATGCTGGACCGCGTGACGCACATACCGACCCTCTTTGAGCGGCATTCTCAGGTACTGTGAGTTTTTTGTTATTTGCGTGCGTCAACATTACAAGATGTTTGAAGTTGAAAGAAAAAGAAAGAGAGAAATTGTGTAGAAGCGGCCATCTGTGGCATTTGCGTTGCGGTAGGTCAGGCCGCGCGTTCTGCGTAGGTCGGTGTGAATGCGCGCAATAGGCGCCGACCGCGTTGCGTCCCAGGCGGCCCGGCGTATGGCGTTCGTGCACGTGCGTGAGCATGTTGGGAGGGGCGCGCAGCCCGGGCGAGCGAGCATTCGTCCACATTCGTCTTCCGGCCGTCTATCAGTGCACACCCGGTGTATTCAGTTTCAAATAACGTACTTAATTGCGTCATTCTTTTAGCAGCGAACATGGTAAATGTTTAGTATAACGCTCTCCCCTCCGATTTTCTTACAACTTTGTAAAATTGTTTATTTCTGTGTGTAAAAAACATTCTGAGAAGGAAAATCGTCGCTCAGGTCTCGTTTTTTTTCAATTTAATTTCAAAGTTTTGATGTCGGTAAGGTAGGAAAATGATAATTTACGTTTTTTAAATACTGCGCAACTTTATTTGTTACTATATTCACAAATTAAGTTGTCCGCATACTCATTAACGGTGCCATTTAGGTTAAAATTTTATGGTTGTGAAATACTGTACGTGGCCAAAATTGATAAATTGTGATTTTCGTTAAAGCACTGCACACACACACGTGTGTATGCCCTGCTTTATAGAAGTTGTGATTTTTGTTAAAGCAGGGCACACACACACACGTGTATATGTCCTGCTTTATAGAAGTTGTGATTTTCGTTAAAGCAGGGCACAAACACACCGTGTGTATGCCCTGGTTTATAGAAGTTATGATTTTCGTTAAAGCAGGGCACAAACACACGTGAGTATGCCCTGCTTTATAGAAGTTGTGATTTTCGTTAAAGCAGGGCGCCAAACACACGTATGTATCCCCTGCTTTATAGAAGTTGTAATTTTCGTTAAAGCAGGGCACACACACACGTGTGTATGTCTTGTTTTATAGAAGTTGTGATTTTCGTTAAAGCAGGGCACAAACACACGTGTGTATGCCCTGCTTTATAGAAGTTGTGATTTTCGTTAAAGCAGGGCACACACACACACACACACGTATGCTTTATAGAAGTTGTGATTTTCGTTAAAACAAGGCACACACGTGTGTATCCACTGCTTTATAAAAGTTATGATTTTCGCTCGGATTTTCGTTAAAGCAGGGCACACATGCACATGTTTTAAGCAAATATTTTGTATTTAATTAGCAGACAGTTGTCACGTGACCTTCAAATAAAGTTGCGCAGTACTTTAAAAACGTAAATTATTATTTTCCTACCTTACCGACATCCAAACTTTGAAATTACATTTTTTAAAAACGAGACCTAAGCGACGATTTTCCTTTTCAAAATGTTTTTTACACCCAGAAATAAACAATTTTACAAAGTTTTAAGAAAATCGGAGAGGAGAGCGTTATATTAAACATTTACCGCGAACATTATAATCGAGTCGTGGAGTGATCGAGATCTGTGTCTCGGTGTGAAACCACCAACATATCTGTTTATCGTGTATGCGGCGCATTCGAGAGGCGACGATCATCGCAGAAAGGACACGAGCCCTGTTGGAATGTGTCTGTGAAGTTGGCATATCATTTTCCGGCAGATCAAAAATAAAAGGCAGTTCTTGTCGCATGCAGTCAAGTTCTATAGTTCCTGATACTTTTTAGTAATAGTTCTGATGATTTTACCCCAAAAACAGTCGATCGAAAAAATGATCTGCTACAGATAACGGTCGACGCGGAGATAAATAATTTGTTTATTTGCAGTTAGGGGCGAGCAACAAAATCTTAAGTTGCATATTCTGATAGGGCACGGTCTATAGAATATTTTAAGACAAAAAAGAGCTAAGCAACAAGTTCTTTTACTTATTTTTTAGCCATTGAAGTCGTAGATAACGGTCAAAGATGCAGTATTTATTAGTGGCATTGTTTATAGAACCTTATATTTCAAAAATTTGTTTACGCTATCTTAAAGCAACAAATTTTGATGTATTGTTTTTTTGAATTTGAGCACTCTATATGTGTTTTTTAGTATGTGGTGGGGCTAGAATCTGTGTCAAACTGACCCCTCCTCATGTGAAAAAATATATATAGAGTGTTCAAATCGAATAAACGTTTATACCAGAATTTGTTACTATTTTGTTGCTTTAAGATAGCGTAAAAATATTTTGGAAATATAACGTTGTTTAAGATGCAGTCAATATATAGTGCTGTCAAGCAAATTTAATGGTACACATTTATAAAGAGCGTTCCTTCAAGTACAAAATTGCTTAAAGAAATTTTGTTGTACGTCGCTTAGTTTTGCCTCCAGGAAAGAAAAAGTGACGCGAAGACAAATTTTCAAATTGAAAAATACCAGGGTAAACTCGACACAATTTTTTCAAAGGCAATTTTCAACAATTAATTAAAATTTTCGAGCAAATTTAATGGTACACATTTAAAGAGCGTTCCTTCAGGTACAAAATTACTTAAGAAAATTTTGCCCGACATACGTCGCTTAGTTTTGCCCGAAAGCTCGATGAAAGAGTAGACCATTTTCGAGAGATCAGAAAAATTACTTTTCACTATCAAAAACGCTTATGTCGCGTTAAAAATTACACTATAACTCATATTTACAGTAGGAAAAGTAAGTTTCTACGATAGATTTAAATTGGCAAAAAGCCTAGTGTCAAGTTTGCCCCGGTGTCGAGTTAGCCCCGGTCTCCCCTACGTATTTTCTAAAAAAACGTTATATTTCAAAAATGTTTTCACGCTATCTTGGAGCAACAAAAAAGCAACAGATTCTGGTGTTTGTTCAATTCTGGGTTCTGGTTCAATTTGTTTTTTGGATTTGAGCACTCTATATAGGTTTTTTATTATGACGACAAGCTGCCCCCTTCCCCCCATTTCGATCGCCGTTTCCTGCTAAACGGCTTGAGCAACAAAATCCGGACTAGAGCAACAAATTAGCACATAAATAGCACTAAATTTTTTAATAGGTGCGGATTTTTTTGAAATAGTGGGGGGTTAACTTGATAGAGGTGGCATTGGCGTATAATAATGGGCAGTACGCGGCAGTGTTCATAATTGCATGGCATTGCCTTAAGTTTATATTATTTATATATAGGATTGACGGCATTGTAGGTATTGAATAAGCATTGTCGGCAGTGTACGAAAATGTCGGCAGTGTTTTACAGCAATGCCAAAAATCGGCATTGGTGTACAAAATTTTGGGTTGTGAATTTTCCCTCGAAAATTAAGCAATAATTTCCACTCATAAAGCGACCTGTAAAGTCCCTCTTACAGTATTCTTCGGTATTAAATTCGTTGAAGCTTTCTTATTAAAATGTAAAACGCGTTTGCTTTTCCGTGAAGCAAGTTATAAAAATAGAACGGAAAATTGTGGGTAGAAGATAAATTTTTCATACACATTACGCTACCATAGTCTTCATGGAAATTTTGCTTCATTAAAAAGAAGTGTACAACGGCATAGCAATATCAGCAAGTTTTATTAATTGTGGTTCGTGTGCTGTATAAAATTCTTTTCTAAATTTATACAAATTAAAAAAAAATAAGAATACTCAAGATGCGATCCAAGAATTTAATATAATGACAAAACATAGGGTTGCTTGCTATGTTTCCTAACATTCCAAAGCAGAAGTGTGCAATACATCTTCACAATGATTAATAATTAATTATATTTAAAAAGTAATGTCTTTTTATTTATATATCTATGTATATGTATGTAAATAAAAATAAGTTGTGTTACATATTCTATGTTTTCCAATGGTTTTTTAAATCGTGCCCAGGGAGTAAGATTCGTGCCATAACAATGGAATAAACTTTTAAGGCTTCTGGGTACTCGTCGCAGCCATGTTGGAATGTGAGAAAAAAGCGAGAAATTACACGTTGAAAATTCTTGCGTAGTATTTCCAAATAAAAAGATATTTGCTCAAAATAACACTATAATACAGATCACTTCAGCACACTTCGAAAATACTCCGAGTTGAGGTTAAGTCTACCTCTTTCCCTTGACAGTTAATAAACAGCCGTAAAACGCAAATATCTTTTTATTTGGAAATACTACGCAAGAATTCTCAACGTGTCAATTCTCAACATTTCTCGCTTCGAGCTACTCGTGGTCGAGCTACTGGCGTGCTTGGCCTGTTTCAAGAACTGATCCAAACCGAAAGGATCCTCTTCGTCTTTTTCAAATTGTACCGGTCCCGATAGAGCGACTGATCTATCGACTCCGCTAAATTCCTTGTCAGGAACGAATCTGCAATAAAAAATAAGCAACAATAGCAACTTTAAATTTATAGACAACCACTCATAATCATTTATATTACCGTGAACAAAAATAGAAAGATTCTCACCTATTTGTCTTAACTAGTTTCTCCAAATCGTCTCCGTACGTGTCTTTATCGATATTCTTGCTGGGATGATAAATGTGCGAAGCGATAGAATTGCCATCTTTCCACGGCTTGTCATAGACGTTATACTCGTCATCGTGTCCGAAACCGCTGTTCATCCCTTTGTTGGTATTAAAGGGCCGCAGGGGGAAGTGATCCGCGCAATTCCTTGGGCCTAACGCACCTACGGCATTACCGAGTTCAAGACACCGCGGACATACACATACAATCATACATACACACATACACTTATACATTCTCGAGTTTGAAATCTTACGAGTTTGCGAGGGTTTTCCGTACTACGCAGTTTCTGAACACATATTTAACCGAATTGTATAATGGCCGTTTACATCCGTGATGGAGCAAATATAGTATAGCGCCACAAAGCAGAAGAAGAAGAAGAAGTTGGTATTAAAGAGACGCTGATCGAACTGCGCCTCTCCCGAACTAGGAATGCTTTTTGCGGGTAAGCCGAGAACGATTTGCTCGCTGATGTCGCGTTCGCGTTCGCGTTCGCGTTCGCGTTCGCGTTGCAAACGAGACCGTTTGTCAGGCGCGGCGCGAGCCAAGTTACGTTCGCGAGCGCGATCCTTGTGCCGCTCTTGTCTGAGTTGGTCTCTCTCGCGTGATTCTTCAGCCTTATCTGTTGAAAGAAAGAAAGCATTTATTTATCACTTGAATATTTGTCTTAATTTTCAGAAATATTCTTTTTATCTGCTGTTTATTTTGTATGTAAACAATTGGCAATTATACAAACCTAGCGTCGCGGCAGATTTCAAGTCGGCGCGCTCTTCTCGGGTCTTTTGCGCGAGTTGCCTCAAATTATCCTCCTTCTTCTCTTTCTCCTTCTGAGCCAATGTTTTCTCCTTCTGCGCGCGCATTTCGACAGCTTGACGGATTTCTCTTTCAACGATGTAAAGAGCTCCTATTAGATTGGCAAAGTTCTCGTTGATGTGAACTTGTTGCAAGCCCCGACCGTCCGCAGTAAGACGCTTCTCTAACGGGATTGTATAACCCTGAAATATAACATTGCTTTGTTTAATCCTAGGTAGAATCGAATACATCTAATTATATTTCATTGTTGTCTCTCTTATGGTAGCGAAATATACGTGATGTTCAGCACAAAGTAAATATTTGCAAATACCTTTGCGTTTTTCCAATTACTTATACACGGTAAAATTTTACATTCTTTTTGTTCCTTTACCGTCACTTTTCTCGTGGGAGAATGCATGACAGGCGCTGGAGGAGACGGAGGTCTTCGCGGAATCTTTTTATTAATCCTGCAATCGCAAATCTTTATATTAATACATCCGGTAATTGTATCTGTTCTTCGTACGATTTCTTACGATCGTTTTATTATTTTTGCTCTACATACTTGAATTTCGGTGGTTCCAGAGGATCTACCTGTGCCTGCATCATTCTGATAACCCTCTGCTTTGCGCCTGAATTGAATGATTGCCTTTGCTGCGACGGCGTATAACGTATATATTGAGCCGGAGCTTGTTTCTCCGCACATCTCACAGGCATGGCCGCCGCAATCTTCGATCTCGTTTCTTTTTTTAACGCTTTTTTCGTCTCATCTTCAATTTTGTCATCGACAGGTCGTTGCAAGGTAGGATCTTCCTCGTTTGTAATTTCTGATGGTAGCAAATCGCTCGACTTGCTATAGACAATCTATAAAAAAAATTAATATAGAATAAAATGCTAGTCCGAGAATATATTTGCAGCAAAATCGAAACTTACTTTATCTTTGCCATGACCTTGTCTTGCTATAAGATCATATTTTACTTTTCCTTGATCGTCGAGTTGTATCGCCAGGGCATTGCTTGTCGATTCCTTGCCCTTCATCCCCATTCCAAGTGTATATTGTGCAACGTGAATTTCGGGGAAGGCTCCTCCATCTCCAAAGTCCTATGCAACATACACCATAAATTTCCAAGTACTATTGTACATACATACATAATATTCCAACCGTAATCATTCGTAATTTCATAAAACACAAAAGTAATTGAATTATGCTGACAAAGAATGATTGTTTGTGCAAGTCTTTAGCAATTACTCACTTCTGGAGTGCGTGGCACCCATCCTCGTCGCTGTCCATAAGGTGGTGCGGTGACGACAGCTTTGACTAACGCTGACACGGGCCTCTGGCGCAGTTTTTGTTCGCGTGCCTCATCCTCCCTGTCCCACACCACTTGGGTGGGGGCAAGTAACAAGCTAATTGCAGAGAAAAATGGAAAAAACTACTATTACAACCAGATAATTACTTGTTAGACACTGATTCTTAAGGCTGATCTACAATGTGCTCTTTGCTTTCTGTTTTCTGCTTTTAACCTTTTTGCGACTATCTCGTTCCTGGTAACCATTTCTTTGCAATTCTGCTGTAAAACTGCACGAAAAGTCGTGCACTAACTTTCAGGCAGATCATGCGTTTTTTATTTCCAACTTTGACTATTTTTCTGTTGGCAGAAACTTGCTCTCGTCGTAGTGCAACAGAATTGTGGAAGATATGTGTATGCATTTACATATAGCAGAATAGTGCAAGAAATGCGGCAGATGCTTGCGCAAATCGCAGTGCAACATAATCGCGCCAGATTTGTAACAGCGCCTACTGCTACCCATACAGCACAAAATATTTAAAAAATTTTTTTTAGGAAGATTAAAATAATTTACAAAAATATTTTTTATATTTATATCACCGCAGTGGTGTTGGGTAAGCCTTGCTGGCGAAGATTGTCGCGAATGTCACGATTTTGCTTCGCGCTTCGCCGGAGGCCTGCTTATATTAGATCCCAACTGAAATTTACTTGCGAGTTAGTTTTACCATTATGTGCCGCTTAGCGGCATTGTTGCAAACCAGCACATACAGCAGAATTCAACAAGAATTACGGCAGATGCTTGCGTAAGAAGTAGAGCAGCAGAAATACAAATAATTTTGGCATAAATAAACAAAACAAGGCAAATGAGAGCTCGTTCGCGACGTTGGACGGGCGACAATAATAAAATATTACAAATTAAATAAAATATATATAATAAAGTAAACGTTTCGGTCCTTGATTTGGACCCTCCTCAGTACATATAGCTGGTCGAGTGAAATGCAGTGGTCACAAGTAGTCAAAAATGCAGTTATTTCGCTCTCCGATTATGAGAGTGTGGATCTCGTATCCTCAACGTGACTGTTACCTTAATTCCATAAAAAGAAATAAATTAAACAAATATATATAGTCATACCTTAAAAAGTAATCACAAGAGTTACCTGACAGTCAAATTGATAAGATATATACGACACTATCTCTCCGCGTAATTCGTAATACAATAAGTATTACGCGGCATTTTTTACTACTTGTGACCACTGCATTTTACTCGACCAGCTATATGTACTGAGGAGGGTCCAAATCAAGGACCGAAACGTTTACTTTATTATATATATTTTATTCAATTTGTAATATTTTATTACTGTCGCCCGTCCATCGTCGCGAACGAGCTCTCATTTGCCTTGTTTTGTTTATTTATCGTTATTGAGAGCGTTATCTTTGTTATTTTGGCAGAATATACCGTACATCTGATTTATCAATCAAACATTTTTCGAAATTCGTAACGCCAAAATGGACCGTATAGCCTACATCTCACAGCATGAAGCTATAACAGTTTCACAATCTCTACTTAACTTACAGTAATTATTTCTATAAATATTTATAACATAAATTAAAAACAACTTTAATAATATTGATGATAATTATTTACACTTTATTTTATAATATTTATTATAATCTTTTAGATACTTTTATTTTTCGGACATTATAATATTTACAAAATATTCAACGTATATATTTTCGAAATATTTAAATCTTTTTTATAAATATTTTATAAATATTTTGTGCTGTCTGGGAGTTTAGCGCGCTCGGCTGTTCTTTTTCTGACGGGCAGATGCTTGCACGTTCTTTTCACGTTTCTGCCGGTCGGATCTGTACGGCAAAAACAACAATTTAAGCGACATACACTTGTGAAATTTTGCTGCAAATATGTTTCAAGCGTCTAGCACATTCAACTGCACTTTTTCTCACGGGCAGATGCTTGCACGTTCTTTTCACGTTTCTGCCGGTTGAATCTGTACTCAAAAGATACTTCCATATTGTTTTCACATTTCTGCTACATGCTTACTTTTAACAAATAGTATAAAATTTCACAGTAGCTTCTTACAGCAGACTACTGCAATAGTACAGTAAGTACTTGTTCAATCACAGATATTATGCACTTTTGTCGCAATTTTGGACTGTTTTCTTGCGCACTTCTTCGGGACGCATCTGAACTACCAAACTGGTTACCAGGTGTATTTCGCAATTTCGTCGCGTAACGTGGTTTCTTGTCTCTTCTAAAGTTCGTCAATTTTTATCTTAGGCGACAGAAAACAAAAAACATCGCGTTACGCAACGGAATTGCGAAATACGAGATAGTCGCAAAGAAGTTAAGAGCAAAAAACAGGAAGCAAAGAACACATTGTAGATCAGGCTTTAGGTTAAGATTTCTGTTTTCTAGTCAATCTCAGAGAGAGAACGTCTCGCCTTTATATTACTTAGTATTATGATAAACAGCAATGAAACGGTTTTACCAAATATACAAATACACTTATAAAAGTAACAGTCCCTTACTTTGTTAAATACATCGTCGAACACGACTTTTGTATCTTCTTCTTCTTCTTCTTCTTTCTGCCCCGAATGGATTTCCGGTTCCACAGGAACAGTCCACGCATTATAACAAGAAATCTGGGGGACTATCCGGGGGAATAGTCGCCCTCTTGCGTCTTTCATCAGTTACTCCTCCTCCATATGCCGATAAAGAAGAGAGCCAAGCTCCATATCAATCAGTTATAAATCGAACTTACAATCATTCAAAAAATTAATAATCACCTTTAAGGGGATCCTAAAGCCGTTTGTATTACCGACCAAATTCTATATCTGTCCTTGTATAGACAATGATGATAGATAAGGATAGACATGGTTATAGGTTATAATTTCTTCGAACGTCTCATTTTTATTCCAGGCTTTCAATCTCAATTTCAAAGGTACGTTATTGTTTGTGCACGTCTTCTGAAGGGTGGGAACATTTCATTTTGTACATATTACTTATACAACTGTTTATATTAGAAAATGAGGTAACAGCATTTTTAATTTTTTTCAATTATTACTAATTATTTTACATTCCCACC